GATCTGTCCCAATCACCTGACGTTTTTTGTGATAATTGGAGTGGTGCAGATTCTCTTAATCATTTTAATACCATTTCAGTTAATATTTTAAACTCTCTGGCACCCTTAAAAGCCAAACAACACAAATTAAAACGTGATCCCTGGCTTAATGACAATACTCGTGCTCTCCGCCAGGCCTGCAGAAGGGCCGAAAGGAGATGGAAAAAAGATAAGCTCCAAATTTCATATGAAATTCTAAGGAACAATCTGAAACAATATCAGAATGGGGTGAGAATGGAAAAGTCAAAGTATTTCTCAGATCTGATTGGAAAACATCATCATAACCCTAGAGTACTTTTTTCCACCATAAATGCTGCTGTTAACCCTTCTGTCAGTTTATACCCTACAGAATCTCAAGCTATCTGTGACACATTTCAAAAACATTTTGTGGATAAGATAAGTGATATTAGGCTAAATATCTCCACAGCACTTTATGATTCTTTTCTCCCGCCACTCTGCACTAGTATCCCAAGTCACTTTGAGCCAGTTACTTTGCCTGCTCTACAAGATATTGTAGACGGGCTCAAACCCTCAGGATCCCCCCATGACGCTCTTCCCCCACGCTTTTTTAAACTAGTGTTTGAGGTGATTGGGCCCATCGTTCAAAAGATCATGAATAGCTGCCTTGTAGATGCAACTGTGCCAGATGAAATGAAGCATGCTATTGTCCACCCACTTCTCAAAAAAGCTAATTTAGATCCGTCAGTGTTAACAAATTTTAGGCCAGTCTCAAATCTTTCTTTTATGTCGAAAATTTTAGAGAAAATAGTTTTTACCCAACTACAGAGCTTCTTAGATAAAAATAAGATCTTCGAGATATTCCAATCAGGGTTTAAGAAAAACCACTCTACTGAAACAGCACTGGTTAAAGTTCTAAACGATATTTTACTGACTCTTGACTCTGGCAAATCTGCTGTGCTAGTGCTGTTGGATTTGAGCGCAGCGTTTGACACAATTGACCACTCTATCCTCATCTCACGTCTGGAGCACTGGGTGGGCATTCAGGGAAATGCCCTTAAATGGTTTCAATCTTATTTGAGTAATAGAAGGTTCTCGGTTAGCATTGGTGAGTTTACCTCTGATGCAGTGTCTCTTACTTGCGGGGTCCCTCAAGGGTCTATTCTGGCCCCACTTTTATTCTCGTTGTATATGCTTCCCCTTGGGTCGATATTTAGAAAACATGGTGTCTCCTTTCACAGCTTTGCTGATGATACCCAAATTTACTTACCCCTGGAAGCTAACAACGTGGGGTTGGATACTCTGCTTGCTTGTCTAGCAGAGGTAAAGGCATGGATGTCCCTAAATTTTCTCCACCTTAATGAAGACAAAACTGAAATTATTGTTTTCGACCCACCAGATGCCGCAAGTTCTCACTGCTTAAATCTTGGCTCTCTATCTCAACGTGTTAAACCGATTGTGAATTTGGGCGTGACTTTTGATGAAGCCCTTAAATTTGATAAACAGATTAATATGGTAGTCAAGACCAGTTTTTTTCATCTCAGACTGCTAGCCAAAGTTAAACCATTTCTCTCTTTCAAAGATTTCGAAAAGGCGATACATGCCTTTATCTCAACGAGGCTTGATTACTGCAATTCTTTGTATCTGGGCATTAACCGTGCACCACTCAACCGCTTGCAAATGGTACAGAATGCAGCTGCTAGGCTCCTTACTGGGGTGCGCAAACGGAATCATATTACTCCGGTTCTGAAATCTCAATCTGTTACAGAATAGATTTTAAAGTGCTGATGCTGGTTTTTAAATCCTTGAATGGATTGGCTCCTGTATATATGTCAGACCTTCTATCCAGTCACAACTCGGGAAGGTCTCTTAGGTCATCCAACCAGAGACTATTAACTGTTCCGCGGTCCAGATTAAAAACTAGAGGAGATCGAGCTTTTGCCGTGGCTGCACCAAAACTTTGGAACAGCCTCCCTGCCCCTATTAGATCTGCCTCTTCACTTCATGAGTTTAAAGCTAAACTCAAAACATATTTTTTTTCCTTGGCTTATAACTGTAGTTGATGTGTGCTGTGTTTGATATGTTCAGTGATTTGTTTGTAATTGTAATCTATGTTGTACTTGGTGCGGAATCTTGATGACGTTTGTTGTACAGCACCTTGGTCAACAACTGTTGTTTTTAGTGGTGCTATATAAATAAAGCTGAGTTGAGTTGAGATATCTCCATGCTGAGCCTTTTTTGCACTTCCTGATTTCCCTTGAGAATCCTTGTCCAATGAATGGACGAATTTAGCACACGTGTGGTTTTGTTTACAAATTTTGGTTCACTTGCAAAAAGAGCAGTGTGAAAGCGAACCGTACCAAAAAAAACAACAACAATAATTTATTTGGTCCGGACCAAAGCAAGTGAACTATGGGACTTTCCTGGTGTGAATACACCCTAAGTGTTCTCCATGTTATATTTTGTTTTCTATTTGAATATCTGTCAAAAGCTAAAAGGAAAGCAGCTAAAAAAGGAAGTGTCCAGGCTCAGGGTGTGCACCAAAGCTCCTCTCAGGAGGCAAACAAGGCTTGTGTTAGTATTACAGGCCTAAATATAGCCTAGTTCTATCTGCTTATCAGCAGCCCAAGATCACTCTGGCTTTGTCTCTTTCTGAGCAGGGCTCAAAACTTTTTTCTTTGCTCTGGACTCGATTTCTACTCACCCTGACGCACTTAAATGAACCAATTCAAAAATGTTATGTTCAATATATACTGTCTAAACTGTAAATTAAATAATATTGAATGTAATCTGGACGTGCTCCATGAATGAGTCATTGAATCTTTGACTCGACCGATTCCTTCAAAACACTGAGTGTTGCTGTGAGTGTGAGATGAGCTGTAATTCTTTGTTTGGAACTATTTTTGCTGCTAAAACAGAACAAAAACAGACAATATTGCGTCTAAAATGCAAGTGACTTAACATGAACTATTTGTTTATTGAATTGTCATGTGAAACCAGTGGGGTAACACTTTACTTGAATGGGGTGTGCATAAGACTGACATGACACCTTCATAACCATGACATGACATGTGTTATTAATATAAAGTTTTATGCATGTTTGTGACAACTGTCATTAAGTGTCTTTTGCTCAGTTTTGACATTTTTAATGCAAATATGACATTGTTTCAGATGTCTTTGTTATGACACCTTGACATAAACCAATACATCATAACCTGTCAGCATTACTAATAAGACAACACAACCTGTCATAAACATGACATGGCAGATTAATTATCATACTTAAGAAACCACCTAGCTTTATTGGTTAACATTACATTAAACTGTCAGGTGGTTGGGTTTGACATTGGCTGTCATGAAGCCATTATAACGTTTTAATGACAAATTCAATTAGTACCACTGTAGTTGAGGTCACGAACAATATTCATGACACAGTTATAATGGCCTCATGACAGCCAATGTCAAAGCCAACCACATGACAGTTTAACTTGACAAAGACATCTTAAACAATGTCATATTTACATTCAAAACGTCATTATTGAGCGAAAGACACTTAATGACAGTTGTCATAAACATGCATAAACCCTACTTCATATTCAAGACATATGTCATGTCATGGTTATGAAGGTGTCATGTTAGTCTTATGCACACCTCTTCAGGTAAAGTGTTCCCATCAGTGGCAAGATTTCAATCGTGATAGTATTCAGGAAAAAAGCACTCTTGTTCGTGTGATGTTGCTTAACTGTGACATACGGTATTATATATAAAAACTCATTATGAATATGTACCGCAATATGTTAAAAGGACAGTTCACTTAGAAATAAATGTTTTCAATTTTTTTCAATATTTTCAAGTTTTATATTTTTAGGTCAAACCGTTGGTGTCTATCAGTCATATAATGGAGGTCTATGGTCACCACCTCAAAGAGCAGGCACAGAGAAGTCCAGATTAAACATGATTTAATGACTCGTAAATGTAAGTACACATTGATGGCCTAAGACACGAAACGAGCAGTTTGTGTGAGAAAACGAACAGTATTTATATCGTTTTTACCTCTTGTAACCACAGCCATGTCCAAGAGGTCTGAGAATAGCAGTCTGCGCAAGCGCCGGAAGTTATCTCTCGCGCGGTTACAAAAACAAATTCAATGTTGTTTGTTGAAATATCGAAATCGTCTTACATTGCAATTTTACTGTATTTCTAAATATGTTTAGATCTTCACAGTGAGGGGTAACACTTCTGAAATATCTGTGTAAACAATGAGTGACGTCACGTACACGCGCGAGAAATCACTTCCGGTGCTTTCTGGCTGTTTTCTCACACAAACCGCTCGTTTCGTGTCTTAGGCCATCAATGTGTACTTCATTTACGAGTCATTAAATCATGTTTAATTTGGACTTCTCTGTGCATGCTCTTTGAGGTGGTGACCATAGACCTCCATTATATGACTGACAGACAACAACGGTTTGACCTAAAAATATCAAAATTGAAAATACTGTTGAATCAAAGACACCTACATCTTGGATGCACTTGAGTTAAGCTAAAACATACCAAAAATTAATTTCAAAGTGAACTATCCTTTTAACCAGTCAGTACATTATAGATTATTGTGCACTATTGATCGCTACTTACACTAAATGTAATAAAATCAGATTTTAGTGATTTGGAGATTCCCTAGTTATTTTTGTAATCAGTCCGGTAAAGTAAAATTTTCTTTCAAATGCCATTTTGTCCCGGATAAGCGTTAATGTCGACCCCTGCCAATAAACAGCATGGCTATAAATCTTTAAGTATGATATTTTCATTAAGATTACACACTGTTATTTATTTACTCTAAATTAAAAAAAATGATGTAAACCATTCACAGTACTTCTCGTCTTACTGAAGCGTCCTGATGGGTGTGAGTGTGACGGAGCACGAGCTCCACCCAACCTAATGAACAGCGAGGATCTGTCCTCATTAATGCTTGATCTGTCCATTAAAGGCTTTCAGCATCACTGTACCTCATCATTGACGGTCACGTAGATGGCCTCGTTGGCAGCGCTGCCGAACACACAGGCTTGACGGACGAGCCGCAGCTCCTCAGGGGGCAGGAGGGCGAACACCGGCCACTTTCCCACGTCCAGCATACTACTCTGTGGTGAAACACAGAAAGCATCAGCTGCAGCTCAAGCAAATAGTTGCCTGCCTAACTAGACAGCATTTTTAGGAATGTATGTATGTAGCATTTTTGACTCACATGTTGGATATCTGCAATACATGTAAATATAAATAGACGCTATTTCTTTTAAGCACACAGAGTCATGGTATTCTTTAAGACAGGGCTTTTAGTTAGACGGGGGGCATAAGGGAGTGTAAGAGGGTCCATGGAAAAGATGGGTGACATTTTACATATATTAAGTTTAGGAAACCTCATCAATGAGATGCGATAAATATAAAATAAAAATTAGATTAAAAAAATAATAATTATAATAAAACTAACTAATAAATGCATTTAACTGTCAAAAAATGTAGTAAACAAATACACAATTTACTTAAAAAATTATTAAATTAAAATAAATCATTATTAAAATAAACAAGTAAAAAATATTTAAATAAATATAACTTGGTTACAATAAATAATAAATTAATATATTTGATTAAAATAAATTAATATGAATACAATTACAATTTGCAGAGCAAAAATGAAAAAAACAAAATAAATAAAAAAGTTTAAACTTAGTGACTAAAATAAATCAATTAATTCAATAAATAATAATTGAATACATCTGATTAAAATGTATTATTTACAATAAATAATATAGGAGTACAAGAGTGCGGTACAAGAGTGAATAATTTTCTTTTACACATAATATACATTTTTCATAATATTAATTGGGTCATAAAAATGTAAGTCTTTTAAATTTTAGGATGGGGGCTCCTTGAACACAAATGATCATATTTTGGGGGTCCATGACAGCCATTTGAAAGAATGAAAAGCCCTGCTTTAAGATCCAGTGGAGAGTAGAATGTCATTTTCATTGTAAGAAAGACAACCAATAGGTGTTTACTACTGTGTTTATCAATATGTAGAAAGGTAACGTTAGAGCTATGGTGTACCAGAAAAGTAGCATGGCCCCAGAAAAGCACTTCATTGTAAGGGGAAACCCATGAACATGAACTAACTTTGCATTTGAAATTAAATAATAAAGCAACATAGTTAAATAACATTTTACTTCAGTAACGTTAGCTCTGAGACAGGTTATTTTACCTGACATAGATTAAAAAAAGACAATGCTGAACAAATAACGTTACCAAACAACAACTTCTACACAAGCTGTTATCAAACACTTTGTCAAGATTAGAAAGTAAGTTATATGAGTGTTTGCAAATAAACGCGTGTTACTGAGTAACACTCGGTTGTTAGCTAACAAGCTAACATATTTATAACACCTCCTTTGTTTACAGAGATAAAACAAACAATCCATAATCCGGTTTAAGATTCAAGATTATATGCCAAATGCACTGTCTGCAGCTGAATAGCCGTTGTTATAACATATTTAGAGGTGTTTGAACGGGTTAAGCTGCTAGCTGATGTTAGCCGTCTGGAGAGACAGATAGATAGGTTGACGTCATGGAAGTGTCAATCCATCTCACAGCAAGGTTTTAAATGTAAAACTCTCTAACTGCTTACCTTGTCTTAATATAAACTCCAAAGTCTTCATTCCTGGTGTCAATGGGTGATGTAGGCGTGGAGAAGCGGTCAGTTTTGCATGGCTAGGAGAGAGGAGAGCATAGCTGTGGATGTGTGCAGTCTTCTTCTGTGCTAGCTGTGCGTGTGTGTGTCATCATATGTAATCTGGATTTGAGCCAAACTTCCGTTACAAGCAAATTACTATGGCAACTACAGTAAAATGCATAGGTAAAATGGCATGGGAATGAGTTCAAAAAATACTACTCAAAAATTATACTTAAGTGAAAGTATAGCGACTGAAAATTTTAATGAAAAGTCCAATCTAGCAAAAAAAATAAACTTGAGTGAAGAAGGTAAATATGTTTTTTTTTTTTTTTTTTTTTTTTTTTTAATCTAAATAGGGGATAGTTCACCCAAAAATGAAAATTACTAAGTCATTAATTACTCACCCCCATGCTGTACCAACCCCGTAAAGGCCAATTTATACTTCTGCGTCGAGGGTACGCCGTAATGTGCGGCGTTGGCTACGCACGTAGGCGACGCCGTTATGAGCATTTATACTTCTGCGTTCAGGTCTTGTTGCTCTGCAGTACTGCTCCGAAACGCTAGTTGGCGGCGGAGAGTTTTAATGTTCCACTGTGTTTAGATTCCTCGCGGCTAGGTTACTACAAGCAATAGCGATTGAAAGAGAGTGGATCATGTTGGAGTTGGAGCTTATTGAGGTGGAAAAACAGTTCACTTTAGTGAAATTACTAAAACTGAAAGGCAGAAATGAGAGAAGACGTCGGAGGAGATGGTACGTGTGGAAATCATAGACAGTGATGGAAATGCGTGAGAAGGTACGTGCGGAAATGCGTAGGAGGAAATGCGATGCTACCAAGCCGACCAATCAGCGATCTTGCGGTCCGCGTCGTCGCGACGTGTAGTTACATTTTTGAGGAGGTGCGCGTCAGGCGACGGCGAAGGGTACGCGCAATGGGACGCGTCTGTGCGTATGCTACGCCGTACCTACTGCGCGCACCCTACGCAGAAGTATAAATCGGCCTTAAGACCTTCGTTCATCTTCGGAACACAAATGAAGATATTTTTGATTAAATTTGAGAGCTGGATCATTGCTACATAGGCTCCTATTGAAACTTGACAGCCGAGAAAGTCATTGAAGAAAATGTTTAAATATTCCATGTGACTGCAGTGGCTCAACTATAGGTTTATCCAGCGATGCGAATACTTTTTGTGCGAAAAAAACAAACAAAAATAAAGACTTTATTCTACTATTCCTTTTCTTCCTTGTAGGCCTGAGACGAGTGTTCAAGAGATTTCCACGACGCATGCGCGAGAATTGTGATCTCCTACAACTACGTCAGTTCAGTTCTCGCTCATGCGTCGTGGAAATCTCTTCTCAGGCCTACAAGGAAGACCTGCTGAACTGCCGGTACATCCCTGAACCGCTGAACTGCTGGTACCTCCCTGACCCGCTCAACTGCCGGCTCCTCCCTGACCCGCTCAACTGCCAGTACCCTGACCCGCTGAACTGCCGGCTTCTCCCTGACCCGCTCAACTGCTGGTACCTCCCTGACTCGCTGAACTGCCGGCTCCTCCCTGACCCGCTGAACTGCTGGTACCTCCCTGACCTGCTGAACTGCCGGCTCCTCCCTGAACTGCTGGCACCTCCCAGACTGGCTGAACTGCCGGCTTCTCCCTGACCTGCTCAACTGCCAGTACCCTGACCTGCTGAACTGCCGGCACCTCCCTGACCTGCTGAACTGCCGGCACCTCCCTGACCTGCTGAACTGCCGGCATCTCCCAGACCCGCTGAACTGCCGGCTCCTCCCTGACCTGCTGAACTGCCGGCATCTCCCAGACCCGGTGAACTGCCGGCTCCTCCCTGACCTGCTGAACTGCCGGCACCTCCCTGACCTGCTGAACTGCCGGCACCTCCCTGACCTGCTGAACTGCCGGCACCTCCCTGACCTGCTGAACTGCCGGCACCTCCCTGACCTGCTGAACTGCTGGCATCTCCCTGACCTGCTGAACTGCCGGCTCCTCCCTGACCTGCTTAACTGCTGGCATCTCCCTGACCTGCTGAACTGCCGGCACCTCCCTGACCTGCTGAACTGCTGGCATCTCCCAGACCCGCTGAACTGCCGGCTCCTCCCTGACCTGCTGAACTGCCGGCACCTCCCTGACCTGCTGAACTGCTGGCATCTCCCTGACCTGCTGAACTGCCGGCTCCTCCCTGACCTGCTTAACTGCTGGCATCTCCCTGACCTGCTGAACTGCCGGCACCTCCCTGACCTGCTGAACTGCTGGCATCTCCCAGACCCGCTGAACTGCCGGCTCCTCCCAGACCCGCTGAACTGCTGGCTCCTCCCTGACCTGCTGAACTGCCGGCATCTCCCTGACCTGCTGAACTGCCGGCACCTCCCTGACCTGCTGAACTGCTGGCACCTCCCTGACCTGCTGAAGTGCCGGCTCCTCCCTAAAGTGCTGGCACCTCCCAGACCCGCTGAACTGCTGGCTCCTCCCTGACCTGCTGAACTGCCGGCACCTCCCTGACCTGCTGAACTGCCGGTACCCTGACCTGCTGAACTGCTGGCATCTCCCTGACCTGCTGAACTGCTGGCACCTCCCTGACCTGCTGAACTGCTGGCACCTCCTTGACCTGCTGAACTGCTGGCATCTCCCTGACCTGCTGAACTGCCGGCACCTCCCTGACCTGTTGAACTGCTGGCACCTCCCTGACCTGCTGAACTGCCGGCTCCTCCCTGAAGTGCTGGCACCTCCCAGACCCGCTGAACTGCCGGCTCCTCCCTGACCTGCTGAACTGCTGGCATCTCCCTGACCTGCTGAACTGCCGGCACCTCCCTGACCTGCTGAACTGCTGGCACCTCCCTGACCTGCTGAAGTGCCGGCTCCTCCCTAAAGTGCTGGCACCTCCCAGACCCGCTGAACTGCTGGCTCCTCCCTGACCTGCTGAACTGCCGGCACCTCCCTGACCTGCTGAACTGCCGGTACCCTGACCTGCTGAACTGCCGGCACCTCCCTGACCTGCTGAACTGCCGGTACCCTGACCTGCTGAACTGCTGGCATCTCCCTGACCTGCTGAACTGCCGGCACCTCCCTGACCTGCTGAACTGCTGGCACCTCCCTGACCTGCTGAAGTGCCGGCTCCTCCCTAAAGTGCTGGCACCTCCCAGACCCGCTGAACTGCTGGCACCTCCCTGACCTGTTGAACTGCTGGCACCTCCCTGACCTGCTGAACTGCCGGCTCCTCCCTGAAGTGCTGGCACCTCCCAGACCCGCTGAACTGCCGGCTCCTCCCTGACCTGCTGAACTGCCGGCACCTCCCTGACCTGCTGAACTGCTGACATCTCCCTGACCTGCTGAACTGCCGGCACCTCCCTGACCTGCTGAACTGCTGGCACCTCCCTGACCTGCTGAACTGCCGGCACCTCCCTGACCTGCTGAACTGCCGGTACCCTGACCTGCTGAACTGCTGGCATCTCCTTGACCTGCTGAACTGCCAGCACCTCCCTGACCTGCTGAACTGCTGGCACCTCCCTGACCTGCTGAACTGCCGGCACCTCCCTGACCTGCTGAACTGCCGGTACCCTGACCTGCTGAACTGCCGGCACCTCCCTGACCTGCTGAACTGCCAGCACCTCCCTGACCTGCTGAACTGCCGGCACCTCCCTGACCTGCTGAACTGCCGGCTGCTCCCTGACCTGCTGAACTGCTGGCACCTCCCTGACCTGCTGAACTGCCGGCACCTCCCTGACCTGCTGAACTGCCGGTACCCTGACCTGCTGAACTGCTGGCATCTCCTTGACCTGCTGAACTGCCGGCACCTCCC